CCGGCTGCTTCCCCGGGACAGGCTGGGGCCGCCGGCGCCAGGGGTGGACACCCTGTGTAGGTGGGACAGCGGAGTCCGAGCAGAAGGTCGCTGCCATGGCCTGGGGACAGGGCTCCAGAGCCCTGGGTTCCCTCCCAGCTCTCCCACTAATGCTGTGTGACCTTGGGCAAGTGACTTCACCTCCCTGAGCCACCATTTGCTGAGCCCAGGGTCAGCAGGCCGAGAAGGTGGATAAGTACAGTGCAGCAGGGAGCCCCTGTGCTTGACCCAGGAGGCAGGGCCACCCAGAAAGCCTCAGAGGGACACGAGGAGAGCCCCAGCCTCATTCCGAACGGCTTGCCCAGCCTGGCTCGTGCGAAACCTCAGAAAACAAAATCTGATCCAAATGAGCAAGCGGGTCTGTTTCCGGGGTTAGGGTGAGCCTGTCGCCCTCCCTGGGAACCCCCACCACCTCCAACCCCAGGGCTGGGGCTGACATGCCTGTGCCCTCAGGCGCGGGAGGTGGAAGAGGGGAGAAACTTCAGTTTCCAGGGAGGCTGAGGACCGCGGGGAAGATCAGGTAATGGGGGGACGCCCAGGAGGGAGGGCCTTACCCCCACCCGACGGACGCCCGGGAGATGCCGCTGGGGATCTGGAGGGGGAGGCCCGCATAGACAGCTGCCTCTGCGTGTGTGCGCGTGTGTGCGCGCGTGCGATCGCGTGGCTCCTTCCCACCTCACACTCTCCGTGCTCGCGGATGGCCAGTGTGCCCTCCTCGCCCTCCTCCCGCCCTCCTTCCCCTCTCTGCTTTTGTCTGCTCCCCCCTCTCTGCTCCGCCTCTGTCCACTGCCTTCGCGTCTTCGTTCTTTCCCTCTCTCCCTTTTGTCCCGTTTGTTTTTTGGTCTCTGCCTCCTCCCTCCCCACGGCCTGCCATCAAAGGTGGCTTCACTGGAAGCCCCATCTCCTGGGCCAGGTGTCACGTGGTGGCGTTAGTGCCTGTCACACAGCTAACTTTGCTTTATTTAAACATAAAAGGCACTAAAGGATACAATGTGCAAGATGATCAGGATCAGACTGTGGAGGGTGTGGGCCGGAACAGGGGGGGGGGCAGACAGGATGAGAGGGGAGCCAGGAAAGCCTCAGGGGACCCCGCAGCCCTTATTTTCCAGCTTGTCCTCTGTAAAGTAGATTGTAGATTGCCGCAGGCCCCTCCACCCTGGCCTGAGCTTGGGGTTGAAGGGGGGGGCAGAGATAGGGGCCTTTGTTCCTGGCTCTTGGTGCCAACAGTGTCAGCTCCAAAGCCACCAAACCCTCCCTCCTTCTCCAAAGACTCCCCAGGACATGGTGAGTTGGGGCACACCCAGGACACAGCCTTTCCTGCCCACAGCTCTGATACCTGCTCTCTCCTGGCCTCCCCCTGCCTTGTCCTCCAAGACTGAGCGGTCTCCTGTGGGTGTGGCCAGGGACAAGCAGGGGGTGAAGGTGGTCAGACCCTGCTGACCTCCCAAACTCCCCCCCGAGTGGCTGGCTTTGGGGTCCCCCATGCCCCGAGAAACTATTTGTTGGGCATCGGCTCCCAGCCCGGCCGGCCGTGCGCTGCCTGCTCCTCCGCCCAGTTCTCCTCCACTGCTCCCAGGTTTGCAGAAGAGGCAGTGGAGGCTCAGGGAGTTGTGGCAGCTTGCCCAGAGTCACACAGGATTTGGACCCAGGTCTCCCTGATCCCAAGTTAGTGACTGTGAGTGGGTCGATGAGAGGACCAGCCAGGATGCAGATGCAGGTGGCTTTCTAATTGGCCCCAGAAAGGCTGGGGAAGCTGAGTCCTTGGGGACCTCGGGAGAGGCAGTCAGCTATTCTTCTTGTAGTCATCCGTCTGTTGACGCATTTATTCAGCATCTATTGAGCACCAGCTGTGGTCCTGGGCGCTCGGGGGAAATGAGGACAATCTTGCAAGGCCTCCCCTCTCTCCCTCTCCTTCACTAGTGGTCTGGGAGAAGGGTCCCAGGAAAGACCAGAACCGGGCTGGGCTGGGGGGCGGAGGCGGCGCCCCTCAGTGCCCCAGGGCAGCTGTCCAGCTTCTCCGCATCCCAACTTAGCATCAGCGCTCGGAGTTCCGGTCTTGACGATCTGCAAGGGGCTAGGGGCTTCCGGGAGGGACTGGATGGAGCCTGGCTGGGCTGAATGAGCAGGGGCCTCTGAAGCAGGTTCCCGGCCCATCAGCTCTGGCCATCAGCTTTTAGCCACCTGCCGTGGCTCCCACTGCCTCCAGGGCAGAGCCTGAGTTCCCTAGTGTGACATTTAAGGCTGGTCCCAGACTGGTCCTGGCCTGCTGCTCTGGTGAGGGCTCCCTGGGGGCTCCAGCAGCTGCTCTCCCCCCTCTGTGCCTTTGCAGACTCTGTTCTCACCGCTGTCACCACCCTCCTCTTTGGTGGAGCTGTCGCAGGTGCCCTCTCTTACCTTGGTACTTTGCATGAGTCTGTCCCCTGACTGACTGCCACCCCTTGGGGCAGGGACTGAGCACCTTGGTCTGCAGTGTTTGCTGCGTGAGTAAGGAAGAAACCCAGGTCATGAACTGCCACCCAAGGTCTTGTTCTGTCACCCAGGCTGGAGTGCAGTGGCGTGATCATAGTATACTGCAGCCTCAAATGCCTGGGCTCAGGCAATCCTCCCACCTCAGCCTCCCAAGGAGCTGGGGCTACAGGTGTACACCACCACCCTGGCTAATTTTTTTTTATATATAATTTGTAGATTCCAGCAAGACTTCTCAGAAAAGAAATCAAAACAACAATATAAAAATAAAAATTAAAAACAAAAGAAAAGAAAAAAAAATAATTTGTAGAGATGGGATAATTTGTTGTTCAGGCTGGTCTCAAACTCCTGGCCTTAAGTGATCCTCTGATCCTCCTGCCTTGGCCTCCAAAGTGCTGGGATTACAGGCATGAGCCACCGGCCACTCTTCTGATCATGACCCAAACCTCACCTCCTCAGGGAGGGCTTCCTACCTTTAATCAACCCCCAACCTGATGTTTCAGATCCTCTTCCCTTTATCACCATCTACATATTATCTGTATTATTATTGAGTTTATCATCTTTCTCCTCAGTAAGAATGTCAGCTCCATGAGGGCAGGCAGAGATGTCATCATTTTGGGGGGGAACTGTGTCCCCAGTGCCCAGGACGTTGCTGGGCACATAGCAGGTGCTCAGGAATGAATGAATGAGCAAATGAACACATGAACTCACTGGCCTGTTGGGGGCGCTGTGACCTGCCTACCTACAAACCAGCCCTTCTCCTCCTGCCCTTCGCAGCCTTCCCTCCTGCAGAGCGAGGAGCCAGGCCCCCGGGGGACCATGCAGAAGGCCGGGGCACGGGGCCGCAGGGCCTCTGACTGCGGGCCGGCCCCTCTCCAGCCCAGGAGCATCACCAAGTTCGCCCAGGTGGGTGTGGCTCCCTGTCCAGGTGGCCCTTGGGTGGCAGGCCCTGGGAGTGGGGAGGAGCTGGCAGTCAAGGACCTGTTTGCTAGTCTTCCGTCCCTGGCCGGCGCCTTGGAGTGTGTGTGCACACAGGAGGGGAGGGCACCTCAGAGGGCCGAGTGGCTCACCTATTGTGACAGCAGCAGAGCATGGACCTGTGCTGCGCTGCTGGCCAAGGCGGGCAGGGCAGAGGGCATCTGGGGGCCTGACTCCCTGTCCTGCCCCTCCCACCCCGCTGCCGAGCAGTACGTGGGCTCCTTCCCCGTGGACGACCTGGACACACAGGACAGCGTGTGGCTGGTGCAGCAACAGCTGTGGGCACTGAAGGTGGGTGGGCTGGGGGCTGGGAGGGCACTTCCCTGGGAGAGATCCCAGCCTTGGAACGACCCCACCAGACCAGATCCCTTATGCCGGGGACTCCCTTCCTCTGGGCTGTCTGTGACCTGCACCCCACAGTTGGAAGACACAGATGGGCTGGTCATAATGTGGCTCTCGATGGCCCTGGTTGGGGGATGTTCTGCCAGGAGCCATCCACACTTCCCCCAGCTCAGTCCCTGAGTCCCTCATCCCTGATCAGCCCTTGGTGGATGGTACTGAGGGCAAAGCCTAGGAGGTGACACCTACACCCCTCCCCCCAATTCTCTTCCCCCCAGGACTGTCCCCGACGCCGGGCTGTCATCCTGAAGTTCAGCCTTCAGGGACTCAAGATCTACAGTGGGGAGGGTGAGGTAGGAGCCCGTGTGGGTGCAGGTGAGCCAGGTGTCTCCTCCCTCAGGCCGCATTCACCTCCGCCTCGGTCCTGGCCCCAGCACTTCCCACAGTCCGCTCTGGGCCTTTGGCTTTCTCTCTCCGATGACCCGCCTCCCAGGGCACCTCCAGGCCGCAGGTGCCGCAGGTCTCCAAAATCTCCTCCAGAGGGGCCAGCTCCTGGCTGAGCACCAGGATCTTCCAGCCCTGAGCTTCTCGGAGGTGCCCTGCCCCGCCTCGGCTGGTGGGCCGTGGACAGCCTCTCACAACTGTGGCAGGGGCCAGACGCAGGCTGGAGGCCAGTGGGAGCCCCTGCCTGCCAGCCCGCACCCCATAGCTGCGGTGCAGATGGTGTCCCTGGGCATTGCCGGGCCCTGGGCCCTGGGGTCAGGTCTTGCGCCAGTTGCATGAGGTCCCGCTGACCCCCACCAACAGCCCGATCAGAGAGAGACTGGTATTCTCCCCACTTGACACATGTCACAACAGAGGACTGTACTCACCTGCCCAAGTCACATGGAGAATGAGTGACGGAGTCAGGATTCAAAGCCCCTGACTTGAAACCTGGCGTGAAACCTGGATGCGGGTTTGGGACTGGGCAGGCCTGGGAGAAGGGAGGACTTCCTCCCCTGGGAGTGGGGTGGCCCTCAGCTGGGCCTACAGGCTGGAGAGCAGGTGGGGGCGCCGGGGCTGAGGCCAGGTGCTGGTCTGAGGGGCCTTCACGCCCACTGTCCCCAGGTGCTCCTGATGGCGCACGCCCTGAGGCGCGTGCTCTACTCCACCTGGTGCCCCGCCGACTGCCAGTTTGCCTTCATCGCCCGCAACCCACGGAGCCCGGCCAGCAAGCTCTTCTGCCACCTGTTTGTGGGCAGCCAGCCTGGAGAGGTGTCTGGGGCCCGCGGGGGCCACAACTGAGGCTGGGTAGGGGTGTGCTGGGCATCAGGACAGGTTCCAGGGACAGAGGCCTTTGAGGTCTAAGCCAGGGTGGCCTGAGCCCCCTCCATGTATGTGCCCTTGGCCACCCTGGCTCCTTCTGCTGCTCTGCCCGCTGAGGACACTACAAAGCAAGTCCGTGGCCTCAGCGTTCCCTGGTCCCGGCGGGAACCTGGCCGTGCTCTTAGGGATCGCAGGGTCTCGCTGCCAGGCCTCTGCTCATGCTGTTCCCTCTGTCTGCAGTGCCCCTCCCCCTGTCTCGGCTGATTCTGACTTGCCCTTCAAGGCTCAGCCCAAGTGTGTGTGAACCCCACCTTGACTCCTGGACTGCCCCTCTCTCTGGGGTCCTGTGACACGACAGCACCGTACCACCAGTCTGTCCCTAATTGCAGGCACTTGGGCTCTGTGAGAGCAGCGCCTGGGGCCGGGTCCTGAGATGCACCAGTGCTTGGCCCTGTGTGGTCGGGTGGTCGCCAGGGGCAGGCAGGTAGATCGGGGAGTCCAAACCAGCTTGACCGTCATGAACGACAGGGCTGTGGCAGCCAGTCGTCTGGCAAGCAGAGGCAGGGTTTGGTTTCACCCAGTAAGCATTTGCTGTCATCCTGTATGTTGAGCCCTGTGCTGGACACTGGGGTGACAGGTGGCTGAGACATGGCCACCTTGATCTTCTGAAACTCAAGGTTCTAACATGTTGGATCTGGATGGTGTGTGTGGCAGGCAGAACGTGCTGGCCCCAGAGAAGGACCGGGCCCACGCTGGGAGTTCTCTGTGCTCCGCTTCCTTAACTCCTCAAAGGAGCACAGGGGATAAGGAGAACGAGGCTCAGACAGTGCCATGTGCTCTGCCCAGGGTCACACAGCAGCTGCTGAGTGACAGAGCCAGGATTGGAGCCCCGGTTCCGACTCCAGGGCCTGTGCTCGCAGCCATTCCTCCAAGAGGCGCTGACTGACTGCGCAGGGCGGGAGTGGGAAGCCCAGGGCTAGGGGTGCATTTTCGCGGTTAGATTCTCTGCTGCAATCAGGATGCCTGGCACAAAGTAGGTGCTCAGTATTTGTTAAGTAAATTAAGGAAGCTGGTAGGGGAGCCTGCATGGTGAGCTTTTAAGGGATAAGTAGTTTGTCCAGGAAGAGTGAGGAAGAGCACTCGGAGCCACGGGCCTGCACGCATCTGTGGCGTTCCCTGGGAGAGCTCCTCCAGCTGAGCCCACCTCTCCCCCCAGGTCCAAATCCTGCACCTGCTACTCTGCCGCTCCTTCCAGCTTGCCTACCTCTTGCAGCACCCTGAGGAGAGGGCACAGCCCAAGCCCTGCCCAGGACCTTCAGGGGACATGCCCCAGAAGCCACTACCCAGCCCTGGAGGACCCCCTGGCCTGATGCGGGAGCCCTTCGGCCGTGATCAGCTCTCACAGAACGTCCATGCGCTGGTCTCCTTCAGGCGGCTGCCAGCAGAGGGCCCAGTGGGCAGTGGGGTACGCAGCACCCCAGCCAGGGAGTGGGCAGGGGACAAGGGAACTGGGCAAGGGCTTGGGGGTCTCATTGGGAGGCTGGACTTTGGGGGGTTTCACCTGGCCTGACATGGCTGGGCCTGAGTCTGCCTGGGTGTGGGCTCCTCTTGGTGCCTTAGAAGGAGCTACCAGATTCAGAAGGCCGCGGGGGGCCCCGCCACTTCCGCGTGGGAAATCCCTACTGCTCGCCCACGCTGGTGCGCAAGAAGGCCATCCGCAGCAAGGTGATCCGCTCGGGGGCCTACCGAGGCTGCACCTACGAGACTCAGCTGCAGCTGTCGGCTCGGGAGGCCTGTGAGTTGCAGGAGCACACCGCCCCGTGTGCCCCTGGAGCCATGCCTGTGTGCCCCTGCGCCAGTCAGAGAGGGTGGGCGTGGGTGTCCATCCCTGCAAGGCTGTGGCCGCACCTCCGAGGGGATGCCTGTGCGTGTGTGTGCCCAGGGCTTGCACAGCGACTGCACGCACAGCTGGGTCTGGACTGTAACTGGTGCGTGGGGTGCCGTGTGTGCACGTGTCTGCTGCGGGCTGGACGAGTGCCTGCCGGGCAGGGCGGGAGCAGTGGTGAGCAGACAGACATGGGACCGATGGGGCCGGTCACCAGAGAGCAGGCTGGGCATGGGAGGGTTTGGCTGCTCTCCCTCTGACCCCTGGGCCGTCTCCATAGTTCCTGCTGCATGGGAGGCTTGGCCCCGGGGGCCTGGTGGCCCCTCGTGCCTGGTGGAGAGCGATGGCAGCCTGACAGAGAACATCTGGGCCTTTGCTGGCATCTCCAGGTAGGAGGGGCCTGGCCGTATGCCAGTCCCTTGGGGTGGGCAGAGAAATGGGCTGTGGGCTTCCCCAGGGCCCTGTGGTGCACACGCTACAGTACAGAGCACTCCCAACCTCGTGGCCTCAGGCGTGGGACTCCACCTCCCTGGCCCTCAGTTTTCTCAAACGCAAGATGGGGATAATGAAAGGACCTTCATGGCAAGGTTGTGATAAGAGCAGATGAGGCAATTCAGGCAAAGCTCTCAGTCCCTGGCCTGTGGCAGGGCAAGAGCTCCTTAAATGTCAGCTCTTTAAACCTCCCTCCTGATAGGGTCTTGCAGTTGTGAACAATTAGGGACCCTTTGGAAACCTATTTAAGCACCTAAAAGCTTCCTTTCACTGAGCCTTGAGCAGCTACTCTGGGTCCAGTTTTGTTTGTTTGTTTGTTTTTGAGATAGCCTACTCTGTAGCCCAGGCTGGAGTGCAGGGGCGCCATCGTAGCTCGCTGCAGCCTTGAACTCCTGGGCTCAAGCGATGACACATTCCACCCCCTCCCAAAGCTCTGCAATTACAGGCTTGAGCTACCGCGCCTGGCGGGTACTATCGTTTTAAGGGCATTTAATCCTGTTATTGGCTGCTATGCCCACTGTCCAGGGAGCAACCCGAGGCTGGGCCCTGACGAGGGGTCCTGCCTTCAGCCACCTCCTCTGTGCCCCCAGGCACTGTGCCCTCGCCCTGCTGCGGAGAGACGCGCTCGGGGCCTTCCTGCTGTGGCCAGAGCCGGGCGCCAGCGGCCAGTGGTGCCTGTCGGTGCGCACGCAGTGCGGCGTGGTGCCCCACCAGGTCTTCCGGAACCACCTGGGCCGCTACTGCTTGGAGGTGAGAGAGTGGCCCCCGCCGGCCCTGGCCCTGGCCCTGGCCCCGCCCCGTCGCTGGCTCCGCCCCGTTCCTTCATGCCCCGCCCCTTTCTAGCCTCTGAGGTCCTGCCTCGCCCCCATCCCGGTCCCCCATTGGCTCTATCTGGCCCCGCCCCTTAGCCAATTCCCCTCCCATCTCTGCTGCCCTCATTGGCCCCGCTGGCCCACTTGGCCCCGCCTCTGCCCTGCTGGCTCCTCCCTGACCTAAAGACTTGGGACGACCAGGGCGGTGCCTGGTCCCTGAGGCCCCCCTTCCAGAGGGGCCTTTCGGAGGGTGCAGCTAGTAGTCTTGGGCCCGGCTGGAGTCACGCCTCGCATTTCCATAGGAATCCTGGCTTTTAAGTCCCTCTTTCCCACACCCCAGCCCATCTTAGAAGAGGAGGAAACCGACTCAGAGGCCAGGGCTTGCCTAAGCTCCGTTCCAGCGTCTTGTCCTGCCCCCCGGGTTTCCAGGGACTCGGAGGGGGTGGCAGGGCTTTTCACACGTGTGCCCTTACTTCCAAGCTGAATGTCTCATGGAGGAAATTGTGTCTGTTCCATGACAGCACATGTGACCTCTCTGAGCTCTATGTCTGCTCTCTAAAATGGTCAGCCTCCTGTGGGAGGGGGTGGCTGGCATGAGCCATGGGGAAGGGGACTGGACCTGAAGCCCTTTCCTCGCCTAGCACCTGCCAGCAGAGTTCCCCAGCCTGGAGGCCCTGGTGGAGAACCACGCTGTGACGGAGCGCAGCCTCTTCTGCCCCCTGGACATGGGCCGCCTGAACCCCATCTACGAGGAGCAGGACTCTGGGCCCGAGGGCAGGCCGCCCCGGACCCTCCGGCCCCTTAGCCATGCCAAGTCCGAGGCAGAACTGCAGGGCCTGGGCTAGGAGGCCGGGCCCCACTCCCAAGGCCAGGACTCACCCTGGCCCTGACCTCAGCAGCCTCTGCCCTCCTTGCACCCCACTGGTCACTAGTTCCATCCAGTCACCTTGCCCCTTGGACCAGTCTTCCATTGCTTCACTGCGTGTGGGAGGGGTTCCCTGAGATCGGGGCTCGCCAGTGGCTCCTTGCAGAGCATGTGCCCCCCCCCCAGATTCCAGGAGGGACAGGCAGAGCTCCAGGCTTCCGATAACTTGCTGGGTGACTTCAGATGCTTGTCATTTCTGGGCTTCCACTTTCCTCCTAAGGTGGGAGCTTGTTGGTGATGGAGGTGCAGCCCTCTCCCAAGGGGGCCAGGCCTTGGGCCCCTGACTGGGGGTCTCCAGAGAGCTCCTGACAGAGGAAAGCATAAAAGTGAGGGAAAAGGGCTTGGGGGGCAGGGCTGCGTTCTCACTTTGGGCAAAGATCTGGGGGTGAGCCACCTCTCAGAGAGAGCAGAGGTGACCCCGAGGAGCTTGTGGGTGGGGAGGCTGGGGCTGAGCCACACCAGGCTGACAGGTAGAGCACATGCATCTGAGGGCGAAAGAGTCTCAGCTTCAGCTCTGAGCAATGGGGGGTTACGAAGGTGCAGAAAGGGCAGGGGGCACAAAGAAGTGTGCCACTCAAGGTCCATGCCCAGGCGACAGCTGTGTGCAGAAAGGCCTATAGCCTGGCAGACAGGGCAAAGAGTCCCAGCGTGCTGCTCAGGAAGGGACCCAGGACTGTGATTCCTGCTTGCCCAGACGGGATGCCCACAGGACATTTGGTGGCTGCCTTGGGAAGCCTTCTTAGCATGGTGCTGACTGACCACTGCTGTCAGGGGCACCTGACCTGGCCAGCCCCATCAGCGATGGGGTCAGAGCAGAACCATCCAAAGGCAGAACTGACTTGGGCCCTGCCAGAGGGGCTTGGCCTCGCAGCAGTGGGAGACCCGAGGGAGTGATTCTAGGCTCAGGCAGTAGCCCTGCCAGTGACTGACAAACCCAGGTGTCCTCTTTTGTAAGTAACCTCAGCAGAAAAATATGTATCTTCTGAATTAAGTTACAGAACAAGTTCATTGTGGAAGAACTTCTCTTCCTGAGGCAGAGGCCTGGTCTGGTCGTGAGTCTGGGGGCTGCCTTTTCCCCCATCTGGAGTGGGACGGAGCAGTTCAGTGCCTGCAAGGAGGCGGCAGTCCCTACGGAGCAGGAAGAGGGGACAAGCTTGGGAGGGCAAAGCAGGCCCCTCATGTTCCCAGCTTCCCTCCCCCCAGCTGGGCCAGGATATTGGCTCACGACCTTCTCACTTTCTCACAAGTCAATAAGATGTCCTGTCGCAGGGGATAGGAGGAGGCTGTCCTTTAGGGGCTCTTTTCACTGGAAACCCAGCTCTGGTTTGATGATGTGAGTGGGAAGCTGGGACTCTGTTGTGCTGGCATCTCTACCGGAACCCACCCCTTCCCTGGGCAGAGCCCTGGTCTCTGCTGGGAGGCCCCCGCCTCAATCTCCCGGCCAGGAGAGGGGTTTAGTGACATCCTGTGACTGGGATTACAGCACCAGACATGTGCATTTAAGGAGACCTGGTAATTGGCCCAGACTTGGGCCAAGGCTCACCTCTGTGCAGGAAGGGTTTTGTGTGAATTTTCTGAGAATAAGGCAATAGGGGACGTTCACACTGAAGGGACCAGTCTTCCCCAAGCACTTTAACTTCCTTCAGACAGCATTTATTGATCATGTGTTGTGAACAGGGCAAGGTCTTGGCCCATGTTTGCAGACTCCTAAATGTCTAATTAGAGGCCAAAGTTTTCTCTTTGTCCCAATGTACCACCTTGGTGGCCCAGCTCTCCTTACTGTGTGGACTTAAATAAAATGCATTTCTTTGGATTGTCTGGTACAGACTTTTCTTTCCTTTGAAAGGCACGGTCTTTGTCAAGTTTTCCTGCTTTGTTTTGGTTTGCTAAACATACCTTCAGCTGGTGCTGAATGGTGACCCAGACTGAGGTCCCATCCTCGAGGGCTCAGCATGTCCCGAAGGGTCAGCTAGGTAAATTTAATCAACCCACATTGCTTCCTCTTCTGCAGTGAATGTCAGTGGCTATTTCCTATAGGAAAAATACTCCAGTACTGCTCTGGCGACTTGGGCTTGCTCTCTGCTCCTGCAACATGCCACAGGACCTTTGCACAGCCCAGACAGGTTTCCTTATACTCCTTCCCCCCCGGCACGTTAACTCTTCAACCACCATATTTCAGCTCCAGTCAGTCTCAGGATGCCTGCCCTGGCCCCCTAGGTCCAGTGAGGTTCTCTTTCCAGATGTTCCACGGAACTCATTTCTTTAGTTTGTAAACTTATTTATGGGATTTTGTTTGTAGGGTTTTTGTTTCCCGTGTCAGTCTCCTCTGCTAGACTGTGGGCTTCAGGAGGGCTGTCTCCCCAGCATCTGCCGGGGTACCTGACACATAGCTGACACTGTGCTTTTGTGCAAGAGGGAAGGCCAGAGGTGTGGCAGAGCCACTCTGCTGGCCTGGGCGGCCTCTCCAGCCAAAAGGCTCTTTTGTTTTAAAGTGAAGGAGTCTTGCTATGTTGCCCAGGGTAGACTAGAACCCGGTTCCAGCGATCCTCCTGCCTCAGCCTCTCGAGTAGCTGGCACTACAAGCATGTGCCACCCCCCGCTCCAGCCAAAAGACTTGGCTTCTAAAGTTTTTGCTTGTTTTAAAATCTTGAGTCTTAGCAGAAACGAGGGTGGCATCAGAGGAAGCTTTGCCCGGTCCAGGACTGTGCATAAAGGACAGCAAGGTCCTTGTCGCTTTCCTCCATAGGTCTCTAACCCCTTCGTGAAGCCTCCCCTCTTGGATCGCTCTAGACCCGAGGTAAAGTCAAGCCTGGGCTCCCATCTTAGCTGGGCAACCTCGAGCAAATTGCTAAGCCTCTCTGAACGGGGGCTGTGCGGGGGCGAAAGCGCCCGGCCTGCAGCAAAGCCGCCGCGGGTGCGCCCCAGAGGCAGCCGCGCGCGCGGGCCCCCAGCCCGGGGACCTCGGGCCCGAGGGCGCGCGTCGTTCGCCAGGGCCGCCCCCTGTGACGCCGCGGGCGTTGCCCAGCAACCGCGAACGCCGCGGCGACGTGCATGCGGGCGGGCCGCTGGGGCGGCTCCGGGCCTCGGGTCCTGCGGCGGCGCCTGCAGCGCGGATCCCCCACTTCCCCGCCCGGGCCGGGTCTCAGGGACGGGCGAGCCCGGGCGCGGGGGCAGCGGCCCCCGCCCGGGTCCTGCGACTGCCCCGCGGCCGCCTGCCTCCCGTCGGGGCGCCCCTGGCGGAGTCCCATCCCCCCGCCGCGGCCCCGCCCCCACGCCGAGGCCCCGCCCCCTGAGGCCGACGCTGGCTCCGCCCCTTGGCGCGCGCGGCCAGGGGTCCCCGGCGGGGCGGTCGTCTGCCCCGGCGCGCGGGGCCCGGGCCGCGGCGCCATGGCCTCCGAGTCGGTGAAGGTGGTGGTGCGCTGCCGGCCCATGAACCAGCGGGAGCGGGAGCTGCGCTGCCAGCCCGTGGTGACCGTGGACTGCGCGCGCGGCCAGTGCTTCATCCAGAACCCGGGCGCCGCCGACGAGCCCCCCAAGCAGTTCACTTTCGACGGCGCCTACTACATGGACCACTTCACCGAGCAGATCTACAACGAGATCGCCTACCCGCTGGTGGAGGTGAGGGCGCCCGCGGGCCGCCTTCCAGACTGGCAGGGCAGGGCTGGGGGCCACCCGAGCGTCCTGAGGGTCCCGAAGGGTCAGCGTTGCCACAAGCCCTGCGGGCAGGCCCTTTGGGGGGCGCAGGTGGACAGCACAGCGACAGGTTGGTCTGAAGACTTCAGGCAGGAGACAGCTGGAGCCTGCCGACAGTGTCGCGTCGGGGTCCACTGTCCCCAACCCTAGAGCTGGTCCTCGCGATCCATGCCGTCCCTTCCAGGCCTTTCCCCACAAGAACTCCATCCTCCAGGCCACTCGCCCTCCACCCTCACTCTAGACCCTGAAAGCTCCAGCCGCTTCCCCAGCCGCCTCCTGTCCTCCCCAGGGCCCCAGGGCCCCAGGTGGCCCGGCTCTCTCCTCCTTCCTGGCCTCACCTGTGGCATCTGCTTGCCCCCCACCCCCTCAGCCCTGCACTCAGAAGCCTTCCCGCAGCTCACACTCATCCTCCCTTGGGCTTCCTCAGAGGCTCTGGCGGGTACAAGCCGACTCCGTGGGGAGGAAAGGCCTCAAGGGTCCCCTGCTTCTGCGGAGAGAGGCCCCCTGGCCTGGCCCCGATCTTGGAGGAATGGAAGCCATTTCTCTTTGGGCCAACTTACCTTCTTCCATCTCAGCATTGGAGGAACAAGGAGGCGACAACAGTTTCTCACTTTAGAGGGCTCTTGCTCCCACGAGGCAGCTTTATAACACGTGGGGAGACTGAGGCCAGGAGGGGAGACACTTGCCCAAATCCCCACAGTGAGTTTCTGGCAGAGGTGGAACTACATATCCTGCCTACACATCCTGCCTCCTGGCCAAGGGTGTTCCTTTCTGCCGTCATCTCCCACTACTGTTCAGCGAGTCTGGCTTGTTCTGTGAAGAAAAGGAACAGTTTGGAAAATGCTCCCCAGTGGCCAGGAGCTGACCAGGGCTGATGCCCAGCAACCGAGGGACAGCTCTCCCCAGGAGACAGTCCTAAGCTCTGGGGATAGCCAGGTTGTCCCTCTGCTGGCATCGACTCCCAGGCTGGAAGGGACCTGACGGATCATCTGATCCAGCCCCTCTGCCCTATCGGGTCCTTGGATGTCCGCCCTCGCCCACACGTCTCCACTGACGGGAGCTCACTCTTCCCAGAGCAGCTTGTTCCACCTTTGTTTCTGGGCCCCAGAAGACGCTAGGCGGCCTCCCCGATGCTCTCGGGACCCTGCCATGGCTCTGTCCCTGGGCCCCGCCGAGCCCCTCTGCTCCCTCCTGCCGGGGCCCCTCCATGGTCTTGCCTCCTCCTGGGCCTTCAGCCTTGTTCATGGGATGGGGTCTTGGTCCCCCCCCCCATCCTGGGAGCAATCCCCCGAGAAATCCTCCTTTCTCGGGTTCCAGGAAGCCCCAACCCAGAGAGGGGGACCCTAAGGACACAGAGACGACCCTGTCCAATCTCCCCTCCCACTGCCCATCCTCTGCTGACGTCTGCTGGTATTTGGGATTCTCGGTCAGACGCCTGCCTCTGGACAATGCACAGAGCCTCAGACTCACGGGACATGTTCTTTCATTCAGCTACTCATGTAAATAACTGGACAGCGGCGCCACACCAGGCGCCACACCAGGCGCCGTCCCAGCGCGTGCCGTGCGCGCTGCGGTGAAGGAGAGATGCCTCTGCCCGCAGCAAGCTCGTGGGCAGGTAGAAGCTACAGTAATTGTTAGCTAAGCCGATTGTCAGATCCAGGGCGGTGAGTGGGAGGAGAACTGTGGCAGGCTGGGGAAGGCCAGCAAGCCTCGGCCTGGAGGGAATGCAGGGGAGGGCAGGGAGGACTTCCTGAAAGAGGTGAGGTCTCAGCTGAGACCTGAAGGGTGAGAGGAGGTGCTCAGGCAAGAAGGTGGAAGAAAGGGCCCTCCAGGTAGAGACCAGCAGGTAGCAATTGATCTTCACAAGAAGAGCTGGAGTCGCCACTCCTGATGGGGAAACAGAGGCCTGGAGAGTCGCGGGGCAAGTGAGACATTTGTGAATCCAGTGCCCAGTTCCCGTGCTCCAGCCTGCTGCCCCCACTGAAGGAGCAGCATGGGACGGGCAGGCCAGTCTGAGCAGGGAGCGGCTGCACCGCAGGGGCGGGCATTGGCGTCCGCCCTGCTGGGCTCCGATCCGGCCCCCAGGGCTCCCTGGCTGGTGGCTTGGGGCCCCAGAACAATCTCCGGAGAGCCTCATGCCCAGGACTTTCCTTCAGATCCTGCTGCTGAAAGCCCCGAGCTCTTCTGACTGCCCTTTCTGTCCTTGCCCTTTTCTTCTCCACCCCTTCCCTCTCCGCTCGTGGTCTTGTCTTGTCACTGGGTGACCGTTTCAGCTCTTCTGGGTGCTTCCACTCCAGACCGGCCCTCCCCCAAGCTCCTCACCCCGTCCCCAGCCTGTGCCCGATCTGGGGGCTCTTCTCAGCCAGTGGCTGTGCTGTCTCTGCTGCTGCGCCGTTCACACCGGTGGCCTCAGAGGCTCTCATGACCCAGCTCCCCGTCTAGGCTGGGGAGCAGGGCTGCATTCCAGTGATAGCCATGCGACAGAAGCCAGAGGAGGAGTAGGATGTCCCTGCATGGGATATTTGGGAGGGGGCAGAAAGAGGACATGTGGCAATTTAGAACAGATGTTTTTTTTTTTTTATTTTCATTTCAATAGTTATGTGTTTATTTTAATGTGAAGTCCAAAAACCCATTAGCACATCCAACCTGTAGTGCGATGTCACGGGAACTATTGCTGAGGATGACACCAAGTTAAAAGAGTCGATTAACAGTTGACTCCGTGAAAACGGTCCAGGAAACCCTAGTACAGGTGGGCACGGCAGAGCGAGGGGTGGAGGCGCAGAGCGGTGGACATTCAGGACCTGCTCCGTGTGTGTGCTTGTCCCCTGGGCATCTGGAGCCCTCAAGTGATGGCAGACTTTTTGAAATCTTTGTCTTGCTTTAGAAAAGCTTGTAAACATGTTTTCTGCTTAACTCTAGAGCAGCGCTGTCCCATAGAATTTCCAGTGACAATGGGAATGTTCTGTATCTGCGCTAATTAGATGGCACATGGGCACTCGACATGGGGTTAGTGCTACTGAGAAACTGAATTTGAGTTAAATTTAAATAATCACATGTGGCCGGGCGCGGTGGCTCACGCCTGTAATCCTAGCACTCTGGGAGGCCGAGGAGGTCAGGAGT